AAAAGGGAGAAAAAACGAGCTCATTTGCATCCGCCTGTCTACAGAACCCTTCCAATCTTGAAGACGTACAACTTTAACAGGTTTCATTTATTGGACGATACAACTATGTATGTTACTATTCTACGATAAACAAAATAAGATAACGGAATCCGATGTAGGTGAGGGAGTAATGGATTGCGAGAGCAAAAACAGAAATAATAAGAATGAGAGTTGCGCCGGAACATGCAGATGCCGAAGGAGGGTGGGCGTGTAGTGGTCGTAAGAAAGCGTGAAGACGAAGGGCGTGCGAAGGGGGGAGGCGCGGAGGGGAGTTGACTAGGGGTTCGGAGAAAGGAGGGCACTAGAGGAAGGGCGTGGCGTCGGGGCCGTCCTTGACGGCGCCGAAAACACTGAACGTGCGCACATGTGTGAGCTCGCCGCTCTGGTACGGGCCCACCGTGACCTTGGCGTCGGGGACAAAAGTGGGCGTGCGCGGAACGACGTGGTGCGTGCTCCGCGCCGAGCCAGGCGTCGGCACGTCGGGCGACACCTCCCCGCTTTCGAGGCGCGCCTCGGGCAGCTCCGGCCAGTTGAACCGCGGGCGGCGGAAACTGGAAAAACAAAGTGGCAGTTAGTAATTAATTAGGCACGCAACGACGACGGAAAGGGGCGTACCACTCGTATTCCCACACAGCGTCCTCGAACGCCTCCTCCGAGACGATGCGCGCGCCCGTGGCGGGGTCAACGTAGTCGCCGATGTACTCGGCGAGCGCAGGCTTGCACGAGAGCAGCGTCTGCATGTGCTTCGTCGTGTGCATCTCGAGCTCGCTGGGCGCCATAGGGATAAATGTCGCGGGCCACAGGATGAGCCCGGGGTGCTGCACACGGCCGTGCGAGACTCCGTGCGGTCCAGTCTCCGACCATGCGCCGGACGAGGCGGTGGACACCGCGGAGGCCGTTGAGCCGCCGCGCGTATGCGTTCGATGGGTGGGGGTGGGTGGCTGGGGCGACTCCGCGCGCGAAGGGGCGACGGTCGCGAGCGGAGGGACCGCCTTCGTGCTCGAGGCAGCCGTGACCGTCTTCGTGCTCGCCGCCGCCGTGATGGTCCGCGCGCTCGCAGCCGCAGTGATGGTCTTGCTGCTCGGCGACGGCGCGACCGCCGCCTCGGGGCTGTCCGTGCGCAGTACGCTCGGCGGCGGCGCGTCCCACTCGCTCGGAGGCACCCACATCGACGCGCCCCTGGACAGAGGCGGGCGCTCGATCTGGCTCCCGGGTACAGGGGCGGGCTCGTCCACATCGGTCTCCTCGTCCTCGTCCTCCTCCTCGCTCTCATCCGGGCTGTCGAGCAGCGTCCGCTGGCGCCTCACTTGCGGCGCCGGTACGCCCGCACCGACAATACCAAGCCGCTCTGCCGCCTTGGCACTGAGCCCCTGCGGGATCGGCGTCTCGCTCAGCGTCTCCTTCTTGGCGCCCTTGCTCCTCCGCACACTCTCCTTCCCCTCCTTCTCCTTCACCTTCTCCCCCTCCCACTCGACGGTCGTCATCCAATTCCTCACCCCGCGCCCGCTATCCCGCTCCCCGTGATGCGGCCGCTCCTCTACAAGCTCCGCCAGCTCGACAGGCGCGAGCTTCAAATGGAAGCTCTGTGGCGGCTCGACGTGCCCACCGCGGCCCCGGCAGAACACACGCGCGAGCAGCGGCATGGCGAGCGCCCCAGGCCGCGCGGGCAGCCCGAAGCTGTCCGTCAGCATGCGCATGTACACGCGCTCGAGGTCGCGCGACGCCGCGCACTGCGTGCTCCACGGGCCGACGGACTCGAGCTCGAACGCAGAGGTGGCCGGCGACGGCGCGGACGGAGTGGGCGTGGGCGAGGGGGGCGGCGCCGCGCTGGCTGGGGGCTCAGGCGCGGGGATGGGGAACGGCGTGGGCGCGGTCGGCGTCATGATCATGCCCTCGACAACGGCCGCAGGTGCCTGCGGGGGAACGGGCGTGAGCGGCATCTCGCCCTCCTCGACGGTGACATCGACGGCCGGAAGCAGCTCCGGAGGCGGGATCTGAATGACAAGGTGCTCGACGCCGCTGAACGGGCGGTGGACGGGCTCAAAATCAAGCTGCGGTACACTGGAGCGCTTCTTGAACTCGAGGGACCCACGCTCCGACGCGTCGCCGACGAGGGTGGAGGCGGTGTCGTTGAAGGTCGAGCCCGCGTCACTGGAGAGGGACGAGCGCTCCGAGGCGGAGTCGGGTGTGGAGGCCAGGACGACCTCGTCGTCGCTCGTCTGCGGTGCGGCGTCCTCCCCGTCACTGGAGGGGTCCGTCTCCTCTTCGTCCGACGAGTCGAAGAAGCCGGAGACGTCGGGCGTGGGTGGCGGCGCGCGCGGGGTGCTCGGCGACAGCGGTATGATGTCTGCAGCGGGAACGGGAAGACTCGACCCCTCTGCCTCCGCAGGCACGTCCGCCGTCTCCTCGATCGGCACGTCCCCGTACGTAAAGCCCATCTGGTCGTCGATGAGTTCGACACGCCCGCCGGGCGTGAGCACGCGCCACACCTCGCGGAGGAGGCCGACCCAGCTGTCATTGGGGACGCACAGGCCGAGGTTCGCCATGCGTACGAGCTCGAACGCACCGTCTGCAAAGGGCAGCGCGTAGTTGAGGAAGTCGCCGCGCACGAGGCGCACGTTGGGGAGCGAGCCGTCTATGAGCGGGGGGAGAGCGACGTCGACGATGTCGAGGCCGACGAGTTGGCTGGCGCGCCAAATGCGCGCGGCGTCTATGAGCCAGAGCCCGGTGCCACAGCCGAGGTCGAGGGCTGTGGCGGGAACGCGGGGATATTGGTAGAAGGTCGGCGAGCCCGCGGGGACGAGGCGGCGCAGGAGATGGTAGGTGTAGCGCTCGCTGGATGGTCGGCTCAGTTCCACGCATTAGAAAAATAGGATTATAAAGACGCACTTCTCGAGGACGACAGGATCGTACGCCTGCATGTAAGGCACGTCGGGGTACGGGTGGAGCTTCATCTTGTGGCGGGTGCGCCAGACGTTCTTTTTTATGAAGCGTCCCGACGCGTGGACGTCCTCGTCGCCGTCACTGTCCTCCTCGGCCTCCTCGCGGGGCACCGGTATGGGTGGCGGGGTCTCCACGATGGGCGAGACCGTGACCGCGAGGTGACCACTGCCACCTGAGGAGGAGGTGCGGGAAGAGCCGACGTCGTCGGCGTGCGAGCTGCTGTTCGCGCCGCTGCTGTTCATGAGGGACGCGAGCGAGACCTTCTTGCGGAGGGTGAAGCCGAAGCGGCTCTGGGTGCGCTCATCGGGGGAGGGCGGGCGGAGATGGCTCTCTTTCTGTTCTTTCTGTTTTTCCTTCTCCTTCTTGCTAAACGAAAAAGTCATGCCGGCGGAAACCGAGCGGGAAATGATGGATGGCGGACGCAGGGCTGCGGCGGAGGGTGGGGTGTTTAGTCTGGATAGTCTGTAATGGGGTTCTGGGGCCGCCGCTCGGTGCTCCTGGGGGAAGCGGAAGCTTTCGCGGGACGCGGACGGCGGGGACGAGAGCGAGTGCTGGGAAAGGGAGCGAGCGACGTCCATGGCGGCCATTTATTGTAGGTGGGCGAGGCCACCCGGTAGCAATGTAGGCAAAGAGACAATGGCGAAGGTGGTGGACTGAGAAAGAGCTTTGATTCCACACATCCAAGTAGAGACAGGGACCTTGATCTCGATTACCCATTTGGTACAAAGCCTATGCCTCTTCTATCTATCTTTTCTATCGTTTCTATCTTTCTTCTAATCGCGGGAACAAGGGCGAGGCCCGCGAGGAAACAACCCTTGCTCTGCTCGCCGTCGAGAAACGATGTCCACTCCACTCCATGTCCGAGGATCCTGATGCGTCCGTCCGGCATCCGTCAGCACGCCATTCAAAAACACCACTGCGTTTGAATCGAACGATTTCCGTGTACTTGTTGCCAAATGTATATGCACCAGTGACCACACTGGCTATAGCAGGGAAGCGCGCTGTACCTGGGTCCTGGCGTGCATATGCATCAACCAGTGACAGACATCATCGCATTAACCCAAAATCACTCCACGAAATCCACCCTACGCACGGTGCTCTTCAAGAGTCTTCGCTTGGTCTTCGTTCAACGGACACCTACCCGCACCGCTATCGGTACCAGTGCGTACCATCCCATCGCTCGCAGAATCCGCGCAAGTGTGGCTTTGATAGCCACCCCGATTAGGCAACCGCGCCCCAGCCGGAGCGCTCTGCTCATCGCCACCGGGACCCACCGAGCACTGATTGCTGTGCGCATCGCCTCGCTTCCACATCTCCAAGCGCCCACAGGTAATTTACCAAATGCGGACTCGACTCCGTATACCTTGCCGAGCCACTTTATCTTTGCCACCGAGCCATAAATTTGTCTTTGCCGGCGGCACCCTCAACCCACATCCCCTGAAGTCTCCCGCTATCCCCCCATCTTCACGCTCGCTGCCGGAAGTGCTACTACGCTACCACCTATCCCCCTGCTGCGGCGCGCTTGGGCCTTAATTAATGAACCCCACTACATAGCGGATAGCTATAGCACCACCCCGGTCTCTGGCACCCCCGGCCTCTAATTTAACCAGCTCTAGTTCACTCTGTGCCTCTCCTCGCTCGCGTCTCGCGTTCAAGCCACTCGCATCTCGCTCGCAAGCCACCCTACTCTCTTCCCACACCATTCTCCGTCCAGTCCTTCTGTGCTAATTCAAACCCACGACACCCGCCGAGGCTCCAGCTCCCGCTCTATGCACTTCTATACAATACATCTCCGAGCGCCATGACATCATCTGCTCGGCTACATGCATCTCCGCGTCTCCGTTCCCCGCGGTGCTAGTTAACCCCGCCTCCAATTCCGATTCTGACCCCGCACAGATCCGCACTTTCAATGGGCTTGACTGCGCACTACTCCCGACACCATGAATATATATATCTCAATTTCCATTCCTCCGCGCCGCCTGATACATCCTATCCTTTCCCCAACAAGGACCTTCAGTGCTTGTGTAGCTCAACGGTAGAGCCCTGCTTACTTCTAAATTCTGAGGCATTGGCTCAAGCGGAGATCTGAGTTCGACTCTCAGTGCAAGCATTCGTCTATCTCGATGTAGTTTTTTGTCCTTCCGTTTCTTTCTCCAGGTTTCAGCCCCATTTCGAGATAAGTTTCAGAGGTAGAGCACCACTCGCATATGAGCAGATCCCAATATAGGAATTTTCAGTGGAGATCCGAGTTCGACTCTCGGCGCGAGCTTTCGTCGATCAGATATATTTTTCCTGTCCCTTCGTCTTGTTCTTTCTGATTTTAGGCCAACTTCAAGAAAGAGATCTCACAGCGCTTGCGTAGCTCAACGGTAGAGCACCGCTTCTTCATCGGCTTTGGATTCGAAAAGGTTTCAAGCGGAGATCTGAGTTCAATTCTCGGCGCAGGCATTCCCCATCCGGATCGTGTTTTTGCACAATTCCTTGTTGCTCTTGTACTCATTTACAGATAGGGTCCCAGTACTAATGCTTGCATAGCTCAGCGGTAGAGCACTACATTAACTTACGGTTTTGAAGGGATTGCTTCAGGTGGAGATCCGAGTTCGACTCTCGGTGCAAGTATATGTTGGCCATGGTTTTTTTTTTCGTTGGACCAAATCCGATTGTCGCTCTTCGACTTATTTAGAGGAAGTTTCTGGGATTAAACGCTTGCATAGCTCAGCGGTAGAGCACTACCTTCCATTTCCAACTTAGGTTCCAATTTGTTACGGTGGAGGTCCGAGTTCAACCCTCGGTGCAAGCATGTGGTGGTGACATGATCATATTTTTCGAGGGTTAGCTCTTCAATTCGTATGTATTTCGAGATGATCAGAAGCACTTGACGCTTCCATAGCTCAATGGTAGAGCACCACCTCCAACTTCTGGAAATTCAAGGAATTTTCAGGTGGGGATCCGAGTTCAATTCTCGGTGCAAGCATTAACTCCGCAAAATACATTTTTTCTTCTTCTTTTTTCAACATCGCACACATTCAAAACTTGATGCCGCTAGATGTATAGCATCATTTTTCACTCGACGCCCAGCTATCTGGATCGGGAAAATCAATTGCCAGATCGAGATGGGATTTGCCTCCGCGGACGCATTGCGAAAAATCAAATGCATAATGGTGTGCGACTACGTGGGTTACTATCCTCTCTGATTCCGAGTCGATTAAAAACGCCGTCTCGTCCGCGCCCATACGGCGCCGAAGATTTGAAAGACGAGCGCAGGCGGCCACACGGAAATTGAACATGAGCCGATGCACTCGGAGTCCGATTTGATAACGCGACTTGAAGGCGACGTGCGCGACGCGCGCAAGCGAGCTCAGGGACAGGTTGTCCGTCCGCCAAGTGTCAGAGTAGCACCTTTCCTAGCGACTGCCACGTAGATAAAGCAATGACCAGCGCGTTTAACATGTCGGGGAGCGTCCGTGAGCCAGAATGCACGGCGTTTCCGAACGTTGATCGAGCTGCGGGTTGCATGTGATGTCGCTGTTGAAGTGTTGAAGGGCGGAGTGTGGGGCCAGAAGGTGCGAAGACGAATAAAGAACAATCGTCGCTGAGTGGGTACCGCGGGGAAAGCAAGAGATTCGGTGGAACGAGGACCATGAGGTGTGGGAGCGGCGGAGTGACGGGGAGCCGAACCAGGATGGGAAAGCGAGAGGCGCGGGGAACGAGGAACAGACGAGACGTTGACGCCGCACTCGCCATTCACGGGGCGGCGAGAGTGTATCGTCGCTCACATATCCAGCCAAATGGGCGCGGAGAGTCCGGGAGGGTCCGGGAAGTGAGCGGAATCGAGCTTGTTACGTTCTCGTTGAAAATTTTCTGGATCCGTGTTCCGAGGTCGAAGTCGCCGTAACCCTTTCCGCAGTGACTCGTTGAACGTATGCAGACTACTGTATGGAAATCACCATCAATGCGGTGTACCTGATCATGATGCATTCCTCGCTCACTGACACAGGCATCTGAACCTTGAGCGACTACCGCCGCCAGTCCCAAGCAATGGCGATGGCGATTTCGCGTGAGCCTGCTCGGCTACGACGTGCGCTTCAGCGGGAAGGGAGGACTCCTAACCCGGAGACCGCTCGATGGGTCGACAAGAACGATCTCGCGAGTCGCGCGAAAAGTGCTGAGCGACTGCGCGAAGCCAAAGAGGTCAGGCGATGTTTGTTGGCCCAGTCATGGACTGGTACCTAGTCTGGAGAATGCCTGGTTCTGACGCACCGATACGAACGGCAGGGCAACAAGGTCGCTAGTTGAGTCGAGCCAGCAGGACACCGCACACGCAAGGCCAAGCTGGAATGTCGCCTCGGGCTCAAACGCGCGCGCGGCCGAGAGCGAAACGACTCGGAGGAGAGGGATATCAAGTTACCTGTCATCGTCCAAGGGTGTCTTTCGCAGGGTGGGGGACGCCGTTGAATCCGCAAGGGCTCCGTGATGGTTGTGGTTCAGTGCAGAGATCAGCCGATCCGGAACAAAAGGCCCGGCGGTGAACTTGAGTCGACAAAAGAACAAAAGAAGGTTGAAAGACGGGATGCGAAGACAGAATTCTTACAGCCGGTTTCAAAAGTTTGTACGGGTTTTCCAAATCAGTGCTGCTCCTGATGGGCTTACAGTTGTTTGCCGCATCTTCCAGGTGTCCGTTAACCTGGACATTCTGAATTCATTTTGACCATCCATATACTTCCCTGTTTGTATGGCTTCTGTATAACAAGTCTACAATACATTGCAAGTGCAGAGGACGTTGAATTGAAGGATTTTTGGGCCATCGGCCGAAGGGCCTAAATACCGAAAGTCCGAAACCCGCGCCAAAGTTGACTTTTTTTGTGTGGTACATTGCACTGGTGAGGGCTTCAACCAAGGTGGAGCCTCACTGGGTCCAATGGTGAGTCAGAACACCGTATCGCCGTCCTCCAGAGGGTTGTCGGTGAGACGCGGCGGCAAACAACTGTAAGCACATCAGGAGCAGCACCCATTTGGAAAACCCGTACAAACTTTTGAAACCGGCTGTAAACTCAAATGTGCGCATAAATGAGCAGCCAAAAGATGTTCAAGTTTATTCCGTTGCAAGTACATGTACAAAAGCGAGCGAAAAAGAAAGAAGAAAATACAAACCCTACAATTAACGTGCTATTAGTTGCCCCGAAGGGATTAGGCCTGGGGCCCACGACAAGGGTGCACGAGGGTTGCGAGCCCACCCCCAGGAATCTCGAGGCTTTTGAGGAGGCAGGTGCACAAGGGCGCAACGGCTGCTGGTCTGAAAACGAACGCGTCAGCGACAAGGCGAAGATGAGAAAAAGAGAGAGCTCACCGGGGGAGTCCGCCACGACGTCCTAAGGAGGATATGAACTGGCCGTTTACACGAAGGTCTGTTCCAGCGCGCACTGCTGGCATCGCCCTTCACTCGCCGGCAGAACCAACCCAGCTTGATGTTTCGGACCCACGGTGTGCCGCGAAACAAGTCTGGTACGTTCTCGACGGTGGTACGGCCCATATCGACTCCGGGCTGTTCTGGAATGCGAGTCAGCCACATGCAGAAGAATAAGAGCAACGCACGGGTACGGTACACCACACCGCCCTACGGAGGACGCGGCACCCGACGAAAAGGCCTGCTCTGGTGCGCACAGCTGGCATCACCCTTCACTCGCCGGCAAAGGCCAGCCAGCATGCTGATACGGGCCCATGTACCGCGAAACAAGTCTGGCACGCCCTTCGACGGCGGGACGGGCCGCATCGCTCCCGGTTGCCCACAGCGGCTGTGAAGGAGGAAGTGAGACAGGCGGCGACGAGCAAGAGAGGAGAACGCTCACCTCAGGGACCCGAGTCGCTGGCTCGTCGTTCGAGGACGCGACGGGCACTTGTGTGGGGTGCCGACCATAGGCCACTCCGGCTTAGTTGGTTCACGCATGGTCGAGACGGGCGCGCGCGACGCGCACCGCGTGAAGAGCAAGTCGCTCCCCGCCCTCGACGACCGGCGTCGAAACGGTCCCGCGCGCCTCTCACGATCTGAAAAAGTCAGTACCGCGGTAGGACGCACCTCGGAAAGGCCAGTGGAGACAGTGGAGGGCGACCTAGAGAAAGGGAGGAAGCGGTTAGTGGGTGAGCCGAAGCTGGAGTTGTGACCGACTGTGGGTCACAGTAGGTCTCGGGGGTGGCAGTGTTGAATAAGGCAGAGTGGCTGACCGCGTTCAAAATGTGTGCACGGACCAGGTTGCGGAATCACATGCAATCAATATTACCGGCGCTCGGAACCATAACTCTGTTGAGCTTGGTATCAGTGGCTGTGAGAGCGGCGTTTCCTGAGTGGGCACGGCGGATGCAGTTGGTTCTGAGGGAATGAGAGAGATGGGACAGTACATTGAGCAATGAGGAGTTTGCAGGCCAGACAAGAATGTCTCGAGCTGCGGAGGGAACAAGCGAAAGGCAAAGTTATATTCGGAGGAGAAGTTAAACATCGTTGTGTAGTGCGACAAATCGAGGAGGCCGTCGAGATATTGGGATGGAAAAGAATGAAATTCCGCCATCTTCGGCTACCGGAAGGTCAAAATCCCAAGCAAGCCAATGGTCTGCTTCATGAAGAAAGGTTTCCCGTTAGAGTTCTGGGGTGCGATGTCGGCATCCGTTGTAGAAATTATGGGTTGTACTAGAAGCGGCTCGTTCCTGACCTTAGACCATTGGAGCACGACAAAGCTTGGAAAGCGCCTCGCTGTTGGTCCAAGGATACTGCTTCTATGGTTCCTAAAAAGACGACGACGAGACATCAACGGCAGAGGAGTTTTCTTGGCGGGCAAAAAAGTGGCCTGTGCTCTTCAATGGAGCCGTCCAGAACTAAAGAAAGCAACAGTCAGTAAATGTAGCACTAGAATTGGGATAGAAATTTCAGAGATCTTGGTGGAAAATGTAGTCTCATTGGGACGGAGCCCTCTGAAGTAGCAAATATATTTTCGTGTAGCATCATATGGACATGAGCGAGCCCATGCATTAGGGGATCACTTACTTCCAACGGGTTTCCTACGCCATGCTTGAATATATCCAACTCTTTCAATATCAACTACGTTCGGTTTGCCCACGGCATACGATATTCGAGTGGAGGATCGGGGTTTCGGTGGGATGTCGGAGGTTTCGACTGAGCCATGTCTTCAGAAGACGACAAAGTATGGTCATTTTATCCTGCTTCTTATCCTTTTCTGAATCGCAGTAGCACTGGCAGGCGCTAGCAGGCGTCCCTGACTCGGAGCGGGAGAAGGACATCGTCCAAGTCCTTCCCTTCAAGTTCCTCGAATCGTCCAGCCCAGAAGCGTTACACAGGAATCCAAGAACGTTTGACGTTGAAGTGGAGAGATGAGTGATTTGAATTTTGGTGTCGACTCACCGTGACAGAAAATTCCTGGTTACCAGCATGTGATGTGACAAAAGACGCACGACGCGCCACTTTGCTTGGCCATCGATTCATGGGAATTCACCCAGCCGTTCGCCCTCAGGTCCGGTGCAAGAGCCAACACGAAACTTCGGGCAAGGCATAAAGCAAGCGCTAGTCAGCCCCGATGTGAGGGTGATGCCAGGACACGCAAAAGTCGGTGAGGGCTCGTTGAGGGCTCGTCGCGTTTCAAACCGGGAAAACTATATCAAACTACTTGGAAGACTGCATAATTTTCTATAGGCCGCGACGGCGAGAACTCCTCAATATGTTTCAAGCCTTGATATCCGCCGCAATAACGTCAAACTTGACCACGTCCGGTTGGCCACTGGCAGTAAATAACTCATCTGCTGACGCGAACAGCGCCGCAGCGACCTGCCCATTTAAGTGCGCGTTTCGTCCCTCCTCATCCGCAAAGAAATCGATAATAGCGAATCCGTTGGTTCCAGGGAACTCGAGTGCATACCATTCCAAAGTTCCGCTCTCTGCTTGGACAAGTGGTACGGCCCCCTTTGAAGTGGGTTAAAAGAGCCTCACAGCCTCGATCTAATTAACTCACAACGAGGAAGTCCCGGACGGCTTGCACCTGGTCGGGCTTGGCGGTAAATAGAACTCTCAGCCCCACGCTCAACCCCTCCGTCATGCTGTTGTCTCCTTTCGTAACCTAGCGACACGGTTCAGAATCTGCCGCGTCTCAGCTCTCTAAGTTTGGCTCTAACCTTGCTTGCCAGGATGTTTGCCGGGTCGATTTCTGGCGGGCTGCTGAAAAGAGCGTCGGCGTTCGCGAACAGCGCCGCGGCCACCTGTCCGTTGAGGTGCGCTTGCCTGCCCGCTTCCGAACAGAATGTGTCGAAGATAGCGAACGTCGGAGGAGTGAAGTTGGTGTATTTGACGCCATACCACTGGATCGTTTGGGGCTCCTCCTGGACCAGGGGCAATGCCCCGCCTAGGAATTGAGTGACATTTTCGACAGTGTCAGGTTTGGCTACTAGTGGCACGAAGAGCGCCAAGGAAACTACAAAATATCGTTAACCATAAGTGACACGGTTCGAGAAAATTGAACCTTGTTTGCTCAGTGCCGGTTGTAGAAATTGAATGAGGAAGAGGAGGACGGGGAGGAGAATTGCCATGTCGAGCTCTGTGCTTTAGGTAGATGCAATTTGAACGGGTAAAGCAGATGAGCTCAAGTAATATCGTGGACAGTGTACTGTACAGTATTTATACTGGAGGCTCACTCGGATTAATAATTATCTCAATGAGTTCCTGTGCACCTCCCCGCTCTGAGTTCCAGACTAACCTGAGACGCGGGGTAGAATTCGGAGCTCGGAAAATCGAGCGAGGACGGCAAGTTCAGGGGTATCATCGACTCACATGGCAATGTAGCAGCCGAGGAAGATATGCCCAATCAACTTGAAGGATTCATTCATTCCCAATCTTTGAGGATTACTTGATGAATTACGAAGGCCACCATTGGCTGCTTTTTTGTATACTCCTGGGGCATTGAATGAGACGGAATACCGTCTGTTCGGAGCGAACATTTGTCACTCCTGCAACACCTCGCACTGAGCGCGCCTAAGCAGCCACGGCAACGCTAACCGCATGCCGGCAATTCGCAGCGCCAAACGGGTGGAACCATCAGAGAGTTACATATTTACACGGACGCTGGCCCCGCCGCAGTCCTTCGTAATGAGTGATGCCCCGACGGCGTCCTTTGACACAATTCAAGACGACAAAATTTAAACCGTGGGAAAAACGAAGGACCAGTGAAACACTAGTCAACCGCAGGTGAGACAACTTACCCCAGGGAGGTTAACATTCGGCGTTAATTTTGAAAGGAAAAGCACGGGAAGAACGTAACACGTTACAGGTGAAACGCGGAAGAGTCATAGCTCTTACGATAAATTGGTAAGGTGTGAAGCTGTCAGGTAGAGAACATACGCGCGGGCTTGGCGACGACTCCCGACACGACGTTCATGGCGAGAGGGGCTAAGTCAAGGCAGATGGAGCAGGTGAGTCTTGGCGTTGGAATGCACACACAAGATTGCTTTCCGCGCGCTCGGCGGGTAATAGACGCCATCTTCGTACGGGCCCCGGCTATTTCTTCATGGGACCGCACCGGAATATACCTACCTACCTACCATAACGGAGTCTATCGACGTGGAAAACCAGGCCCGGCCACTACCTCAGTTCGGAGTTGCGCGCTTAGTATAAATTGGAGACGGGTGGATCGGTCGCACGCGGATCGAAGACTCCGATGTCCGAATTCCCACGGTTGATTTCGTCATTTACTTTGAACAAGATTGAGTCGGATACTAAACCGATTTCTGTGGTAGCTTGGCGGCCCACCCCGACGTCAGTTCAACTCAGACCGCGGCGGATGATGCGAGAAGAGAGCTTATGCAAGTGCTTCAATTACATCTCTGAATCTTTTTTTACACGGCAGTCACTGCGAGCGAACTCATCAAGAATGCATTCCATAAAATACAAACGGATTGATCAGCTGACATACTAGTACAAAACCCATGAAAAGGGGGACAAACTTCTCTGACGCTCTTCGACGTTAAATCTTTACCCTTTTTTTCAAACCACGCCCGCAATTGCCGACCTAACCTCCACCATATCCCCTGGGTTAGTCACGCCGTCGAAGAACTGAGGGTTGGTCTCGGGGCGGAAAACCAACACGTGCGTCGACCCCCCGAAGTGGAACATCCCCAGCTCGTCCCCGCGCACGACCCGGTCCCCAACATTCACCGTCGCCTCGCACGTGGAGACCTCCGTCATCCCGACGGCAATGAAACACATCAGCCCGATGCGCGGGTTGTCTGACTTAATGAACATGAGCATGCGCGTCGTGAGCGAGGCGATGAATGCGAGCGAGCGTAGGTACGGGTTGTCCGGCTCGCCGAGTACCGCGGGCGACTGGCAGAAATATGTTCCAGGGAGTTGCACAATCTTGCGCACAACACCGGTCACGGGCGCATGCCAGCGGTGGTACCCCGTCACGGAGAGGAAGCCTTGGAAGACGGTGCCGCCCAGGAACTGCGGTGCGACCTCGTCCTGATTAAGCATGTCAAGGAGGGAATATGGCTCCCCCTTTAGCCAGAACGTGTCCCGCTCCTGGACGTTGCTCGAGATGTTGTACAGCTGTGACTCGCACGCGGCATTAATGATGTTTGGGTTGTCGCCTGCCTGGAGGGTACGGATGCCGGGTTGGAAGGTGCGCACGAAGAAATCGTCCCAGGATGTGTAGCCCCAGTATGGGGCGGAGGGGTCGCTCACAAAGATCTGCTCGAACCGGAGGCCATCGAAGTTATCGGTCAAGGCTGTGAGTGCGGGCGAGCTGAACCAGCCGCCCGGTTGGTCGGTGAGGACATAGCGGGAGGCAGGAGAAACGAGGAACTGGGCCCAGACGTCAAACATGCTCTTGAACTGCGCGTTCAGTTCCTTGTTCAGGAAGGTGGTGAATCCGCCCTGGGTATTCATCACCGCGCTGAGGACCATGTATATCGGAGGCCCAATGGGCCCATAAAATGGTGCCTCCTGGATGATCTTGTTGAAAACCTGGAGCATTGTTTGATAGTCCGGAACCTTATGAATGTGGATGAGTGAAGGAGCAAATCCAAAACCGAATACAAAGCACATGCCATCGTCAACAACGAGGAGGGAGGCTGCTGTTCAAACATCTGATTGAACCCCATGTACATTTCGCTATTCGTCTCGATGAACGTCTGGAATTCTTGGATGACCGGAAGGAGGGGGGCGCGCTTTCTTCTGACGTCGTCGACGGCATCCTCGATCCATTTTCTGAGGTCCGCATCACTAGCCAGAAGCCACCCGGCACGACGGAAGTGATCAATCAATTAGGGGGACGCCTTGGACATGTTGAAGTGAAATACGAGGGGGATGGTGAGTCTAGTGGGCTGCTACGCATTTATATGGATATTCGCCAGTGGTGAGAAATGGTCATAATCTGGGGTGCATTCAATGAGGATCAGATGACCCCAGTTTGAAGGCATCCAAGGATTGGACCATGTGCAGAAAATTTGAGAGAACCGTCCAGGAAAAAGAGCTGGCAGCGGTGGCGATTCGACGCATGAAGCTGCGGCTATTGAGGGTTTTCCGAAAATATCTTGTGGAGAACAGGCACGGCCAGAAGCATAGGTCGCCATTGTTTTCCAGAGGACTGGAAGCCGCAACGTGAATCGCGTCCCGCACGCAAGGGTGAACAAGCCATGTTCGTTGAAAAGTTCGAGCCAAAGCAAAGCAGTGACCGGACTCGGACTTTTCTGAGACTGATGCATTCTTGCTGTCAAGTTTGTCTATTCTTGTACGAAACGTCAATGGAACGCACGCCACGGCAAACATAATCCGGAACGCATGATTATGGTAGGTCGGATATTCGGACCTCAATTATTATTCTGCAGCTGCAGTAACCTCTCTTACAATTCTTGGGTCCTGTCAGATGTTCGTCCTCTTGAAAATTCTGGTATTCGGTGTACACTGTTGGAGTATCCTGAATGTCGGCGCGTCAACAGCGATATCAGCATATTGCGTTTGTAAAGCGCTCCTTCGACGCACCGGACCTGGATCCCTGTGTGAAGTCAATGTAAATGGCCAGTTCTGTGACACAGAATTTGACCTCCTGTACCCCCTAGAGCGTTTTGAGTGGTCATTGTGAAACAAGAATAATTGTCTAGTACTCACGGTACGCTTCCTACCAACTTCCTCTTGCCGCATGCACCAGATTTGGGCAAATTGCTCATAATCGAAGTCTACCTTTCGGTAGTCTTCGCAACACTGGCGGCCTGTGGCGCTCTTCTTATTCCTCGAGTGGCACAAAATGAGGTGAAAGGGATCACATCGCTACACCGGTTGCGGCTACAGTGGAAGCTCAACTGACTGAGAAACTTCGCGAAATCATGCATCAGTTGTCCTTCATGCGTCTTCGTGTAGATTTTGAAGCATTTCCCCTGCATTGAGTCGAGCATTGACGCCGGAATCGTTCTGAAGGAGGGAGCACCTCCTTATATAAATCTTGTCAACCGCTCGCGTAGCTCAGCTGGTTAGAGCATCGCACCTATGAGGTTACCTATTCTCGGAACTTGCGCCAGAAATTTCCGTAGAAAACACATCCATGCGAGGGTCCTGAGTTCAAGCCTCAGCGTGAGTATCATATTTTTGTCGCCAATGACACGATCATCGAAATGACTCGAGCGTTGGTGTGCTTTTGTTTTCTTGACTCGGACGCGTGGGAGAGTCAGATTACCGTCCTGGGAAATTGAGTTTCCTTTTTTGGCTGGAGCCCCTATCGAGCCATCGACGCCATGGATCCATTCAGAAACAAGGACAAATCAAAAGGTAAGATGGCCGCGGCCTTGATATTCCCGCTACCTTTAGGTACGGGTCTTATAGCGCCTGATTTTTCGAAACTGTCGAGCCATCACATTTTTGCCATATAAAGTAATCTGCTTGGTCATTATTGGTGTGTAAGCCAGCTTGTTGCTAGGGATGTTTCCAGAAGTTTCGACGTCGAGCGCGTCCAGCATTCGTCTACCATGGCTGCTTCCGCTACCCTCTGTAATGTGCCTCTTTCTATTTCCTTCAACCATGATTTCGAGAAGTCTCTCTTGTCTCTGGACTGGGTTCTAACATCGGGTCTCTGTCCTATCAATTCTGTTGTGTCCGGTCCCGTCAACATCCGACTGTCTGCACTTCTAACTCACGCCGCCGCCGCGCGCCCAACGTTCGCACTGTTCGCATGCAACGGGTGCAGCCTATGTACATTGCTACAAACCCTACTCCCTCTGGGTCTACGGCACACAAGCGCCGATGGGATGGAGAATCTCCACCAATTTCAAAACGTGCCCGTCATAAACGGAAATAATTCTCTGTGAGCCCTGAAAGTTTGTTTGAAGGATATTCACTCATATTCTTTCATATTCCACAGATGCTACCTTAAATCCCACATCGTTTCCCAGGTGTCTCTAACATCCCCCACCTCCTCCCACTGCGTCTATGACCTCGAAAATAGATGAAGTCACCTTGCGTCGTACTCGTGTTGGTGCTAACGGCGACTCAAGCATCTATGACGCCTGCCTACTCGCATTGGACAATCTAGGAACGCACGGTCTGGCCACCCATGACATTAATTTCACCTTTGGCCGAGAGATTACCAGCGACCCAGACAACGACAAACACTTTATCAACTACGTCAACCTCAACAACCACAAAACTTTCAGTGCATACATCCTCGCCGAAGTAGGTTCTGAATCGGAAGGAACCTGGATGGCAGCATACCCCAAGAAGATGCCACCGTCCAAATTGGTACGTGCCATCAGTTTTTAATTGCAGTTTTCTACAGGTATTCTCAGCCTCTGGGCGACGAGGCCAGTGCTCACCGCATGATAATCGCTGCGCCCTGCCCAACCGGTGCGCCAACGAAAATGGCTGATACCTTCAAAAATTGTATGGCGGTCATTGATGAAATTCACGCAGAAGACCAAAAGAAAGAAGAAGCCGAGGAGAAGGCAAGTGTCGGCATTCACTATCACTTACTTTCAACTGACTTCTACAGGTATTTCAATTGACGGAGCGGGCTAGCCGTTCGGACGGCGACGAGGGCGAACCTTTCAATATCATGCTGCTGCGCCTGGCACCTACATATGAAGTACGATGCTCGATTTTTTTCTTACGTGCCTAACTTACTCCTCATCTCCAGAAGTCGTACCGTGACAAGAATAAAACTGGTGAAGAATCCGGTTCGAACAGATCACGCCCGAGAAATAAGACATCCGCGTCAGCGCAAGACGAGGAACATCAATATGGAAAGCACAGAAAATTCCCGCAGCAGCCAAAGGTACATCTAACTAACATCAAATTAGGGCATTCCTGACTGCAAATCGTAGGACGCAAGATTGGTGATACGTACGACCCTAACATGCTCCCCGACCACCGCGGGCCATACTTCAATCACAAAATCTCGAAACTCGTCCAACGCAATTACCAAGATTTGGATGGTAGCCTCATTGCACCGCACGAGCTATATGTGAAATTGACGGAGGGTACATTATTCTCCGCTCAAATCACCTTGCACACGTATATTTCTCGGGGCGTCCTCCCAATAAAGTATTTCCAAACTAAATTGCCTCGTACCTCCAAGCCTAACTTACATTTTACTTCCAGATTTATCACATTTATGTTGAAAAACTGAAGATACATGATCCCGGATACGGTGAGGTATGGAAGCCGTCGATCCCCATTATCCCACCACCTCCTCGTCTATTCCCTCGACGCCTCAGAGACGCGGCAGACCGGACAGAGATGAGGATGCCGAAAATGCGTTCAGTGTGTTTGATTCAGTATCGCCGCCCAAGAAGAAGAAAAATTAACTCCTATGGTGAGTCACTAATCTTGTTTTCATCCAACGTTACTTAGCCGGACATTGGGTGCTAAGAAAGTGCCTCACTACGCAGATTTCTTGATACGTACATAGCTTACTTCTTGGAATATCACAAATCAATGAATTGAAATCCAATTGACAAAAGAATGCGGAACTAATGAGACAACCCATGACCGATACCATGACCTGTCAAGGACGTTGAAGACCTTGTGGGCTCGCTTAGTCAACCCACAAGGTCTTCAACGTCGTTAGATCGGGTAGCGGGCCGTGCCGCTCGTCGGCCTTACCCGCTTTATTCCAACCAGGTACTGAGACATGGACAGTCGTTTACATGGCGGAACAAAAGAAGTGCGGTCGAGCAAGAGGATGGGCAGACAACCACGCTTGGAAGGATGCAATGATCCAACAGTGGCCTAAGAGAGCCGCCGACTACGTAGCCTTGAGACCTTGAGAATCAGCCTTATTGCATATGACGGTCGTATGGCCGGCCGAACAAGAATGGAAACAAGTTTAGGCTCAATTTAATATTCAGCCCGGCTTCCTGCGCAGTGGAAGTTGTGTAGAAGAGCGTCAGCTATAATTCCTGAACACTGCGAAAGGCCGCACTTCGAGGCCTGGTGGACGAGCCTCTCGTCGGTATTTAAGTTGGAAATCAACAAGTGCTGAAGCTCGCACTAGGGGAATGTAAGCCGACCCACGATACTGCCCGTTTGGGATGGTCACGTTTTTGACGGCCATCACACGGCATCGGACAATGGACGGGCTTCAAATCGTTCCTTTTACCAGTACCACTCACCATTGCGCCGCCGATGCCCTTATTGCTTGTATCCTTCCCTCCAGCCTGTTCCCAATTGAAGCCCCTCTGCTCTGTACCCCGATACGACAATACTTACAAGATGGCTTCCCACCAGCTCATTCCAGCAATGGGCCATGCCACCGCCCGCAGATGGCGGGAGTTCGCCCCATCGATAGCTGTATAGTCTCAATGATGACGAGACTCTATCTGAATACGCCCGACATTGATCCCCGTCGCCGCCCAGCCCAGTATCGAGGTCGCGACAATTCCGAGTGACCGAGTCTCCTAGTCGATGCTGGTGGCAAAACGGCATCAGCCATTCGCTCCTATTATTCTTTCTTTCTTTCGATCTCTGTAGTGTGGTAGAACTTCAATAATATATTAGATTTGCCTCTGCAGTTGATACCATTCCTTGCCACCCCGCAACGACAATGTGCTACTCGAGGTAGTGTTGGCCGGCTGATCGCCGCGATGCACGTGACCATCCCAAACGGGTAGTATCGTGGGTCGGCCTTCCTTCCCGCACTAGGTGAGTTTCGGAGCTTACAGGGATTTGCCTGGCTGAGTGCAGCATCAGCGATGTAATTGAGGAAGGTAGCTCGGTCTTCGCAGATCGTCAGAAATCTTCGTTGTAGTCAAGTTGTAGTTCCGGTCCAAGAATGGGTTGTTTGGCGTTGTTGCACAGCAGCTTTAAGTTGGACAATATCTTCGTCTTCACTCAAGTTTTTAAGCCAGTATTTCGTGGACCTGCAATGACGACGGAAACCACACAATTAAAAGCGAAACTCGACTCGCTAACGGCGTCTCTCTCTGGCCTCGAATCGACGCTGGCTCCCCTCTTCGCGCAGACTCTCCCAGAAACAACCGTCGCGCTCACCCCGATCGAGCAAGCAAAGCTACAGACGCTCCTCCCATACCTCGTCTATGATCTCGTTTTCAGTGGGTATCCATGCTGCATTGATGTCCGGTCGTGAACTATACAAACCAAAACCCAGTTTACTTGAAATCCAAGGGCATCGACCCGAAATCCCATCCCGTCATTGGGGAGCTGGTGGGGCTCATTCCTTGAACGCAAGAGGCCTCCCTCTGACTCTCGAAAACTTTCAGACCCGGGTCCGGAAATACTTTGACAAAATATCGTCCGCAGAGAATCCCGATACGCGTGCGTGCATCCCTCCCGCGCGCGTCGTGCCACTCACCTCATGTCTGTACATAGCGCGGGTGGCCCTTGACAAAGGCGCGGCGACGCGGTTCATCAAACACGCCATAACTCAGTCTAAGCTCGGCGAGTCGAGCGCCGATGTGCCTGCGGAACCCTCGACGTTCGTACCTATCAAGGTGACGAGCAAAATGGCCGAGCGCGCGGAGTACGAGGCGGAGTTGCGGGCGCGGGGAGATGTGAGCTCGGAAGAAGAGGACCTGGAGATCATTGATGGAGACGAGCCTGTCGTGCCGGCCAAAGACAAGGGTAAGGCGAAGGAGATTGTCGAGGAACCGGTGGCAGCAGGAAGCAAGCGACGCAGGCCCGCTATCGACCCTTTTGCTGGTGCGTCATCCCTTCTTCTCTTCAGACGAAACGGTGCTCATCAATAGAACAGGTTTTGGAGACGATGAACCCGCCTCAGTTCAAACAGAAGAGGGAGATGAAGGGGAGAAGAAGAAAAAGCGGAAAAAGGAGAAGAAAAAAACCAAGAAAACTGACGACGACTCAAGTTCTAAGTCGCCCAAGAAGAAAGCGAAGAAATAGACCAATTACAATACGCCACGCATATTTCGTTCCGCCGTTGGAATTGTTACTATTACTATCTCTGAAGTGGTCGTACATTGAACTGATAATCTTCCGGATTAAACCTTTGGTTTGGTGCCAGTAACCTGTTGCACAGCGTCAAGCACCGCGGCGTGCACTTCTTTCCCAGCGGCTACCACTCCGAAATTTTCGCCCAAAGTCCTGCCAAGGCCAAAGTCGAGCGGCAGG